CCACGACCGTGTCGCTGGTTCACCACTGGAACACTTTTGATAGATTGATAGACTGACCACTGCAGACCAGGAACACCACACAAGAGCTGCAATTTTGAAGATGCTCTGACCAAGTCATCGCAGTATGGCCCTTCTATCAAACACATTAACGGTGAGAACACAATGTTTTCTTGCTCCCTAATACATCCCAGCCACTAGCAGGTGAAAAGATAATCAGTTTTATTCACTTCATCACTTCACCTGATTGGTGCATGTTCAGCTTAAAATATAATGTTTTTAAAAAATTACTTGGATATGTTTTCCTAGTTTTTATTTGCTCTTTTCTTGTTTATATCTGTCTTCCCTGGTGGATTCTGCTAAGCTGCCACCACACGCCACCAAATCGTCCTCTGGATTTGAAATTTAAATGCGATGTGACAACAACCTCTAAAAATGATTAATGAGATTTTGTGACTACTGACTGAAATGTCTCTATTTAAGCGAACATTTTGAGTGGTGCTATTATTCCCGAAACACAAGAGAATACTTTTGAGCTGATTGCACATTTGCATGTCAAGTGACACTGCTTATTCGGTAAGCCTTCCTACATGCCATCACCATATCGCTGTGGAACAGCTGTAAAAAGATGTGAGCCAAGAAAAGGCTCAGGCATACATAAACAGAAGCTAATTTAGGAGCAGTGCAGCTTACTGAAATTATGGGATGAAAAGTGGGTGACCATTTTCACTTTCAGCTGACAGCAGAGTTGGCTCAAATCTATCTATCATCAAGGATCTAAATGCAACTTTATTACAGCAATATTCTAGGCCAATTCGAAGATGGCTTGACAAGCCTAAAGGCAAGCACTTGTGCTCCCTATTTTATGCCATATACTGACTGGCCACGTCATTACACCTATTCAACTGCTCGTTAATGCAAATATCTAATCAGCCTGTCACATGGAGGAAGCCTAGTGCATTTAGGAATGTAGACGTGGTCGAGACAACCTGCTGAGTTTAAAACTGAGAATCAGAATGGAGAAGTAAGATGATTTACGTGACTCTAAAACTGGCATTGGTTCTAGATGGGCTGATTATTGCAGAAACTGATGGTCTTCTGGGATTTTCCAAAACAACCATCTGTAGGGTTTACAGAGAATGGTCCAAAACAGAGAAAATATCCAGTGAACAGCAGTTCTCTGGGCGAAACTGACTTGTTGATGTCAGAGGTCTGCGGGAAATGGCCAGACAGCTTTGAGCTGATAAGAAGGCAACAGTAACTCAAAAAAACATTAATCACAACCAAGGAATGCAGAGATGCTTCTCCCTTGCAGCAAAATGGCTACAGCAGCAAAGGACCGCAGTGTGGTCTGATGAATCTCAATCTCAATTTCTGATGCAACTTTCAGATGGTGCGGTCAGAACTTGGCGTAAACAACATGAAACTATGGCTCCATCCTGCCTTGTACTGTCCCAATCAAAAATTTAAGACCACTTGATAAATGGTAGAAAATCATATTTTGCATGGTTGGATCTTGACAAGGTTCCAAGCAGAGCTTCAACATGCAACAAGAAGAAATGGGAGTGAGACAAAACATTTTTTGAGCATGCAATTTATTGGAAACAACGTTTAAACTGAAACAGGCTGTTTGACAGCTGATCAAAAGTTTAGGACCACATGCCAAGAGTTCATGATCAAGAGTTCAGTGTTAATTGTTTGGAAGATACTGGGGATCATATTATTGGTTGGGTTTTCTCCTAAATACTGTAGTGCCTGTACAAAGAGATTACATTATAGCTTTTAGAAAAACAAAAAACAAAACTGGTGTATGATAGTTTCGTCAGTTTTGAGAGGCTCTGAGGTTATAGGGTGATAAAAAGAAACCTGTAAGTATGACTTTCTTGCAAAGTCTTGCTGAGCTTGCTCTGCATTATTTTAGGCAACTAAAACTGTGGTTATGATTTAAACACCTCTGGGATCGCTAAACCCCATAGGAAGAAGCCACAGTGCTTCCCTCTTTAACCATGACCAACACTTCCTGTAGAGGTAAACACTGCTCATCCTCTCCACAGAGCCACAGTGACGTCACCAGCTGTGACCAGCGTCCAAACAAAAAAGTCCTGAGCAGAGTTACAGCAGTTTCTACAAACAGTAGCTTAGCAGCACATCTGGGCACAATGACCTACAGGGAGTGACTTATCCGGCAATAATACACAGTTACTGTTACATGTTGCAAAATACTTAGATGAGAAAAAACCCCATTGTTTCTTTGGTTTGGAAACCTTTACATGTTTTTTAACCTAGTTTTAACAAAAATAATATAAAAAAAATATAATGGTAAAAAAGGAAATGGTTCTAAGTGTGAAATATACACTTTTACGTCATGGGTTTTAATTTAATTACTAACTTTCATGTGCTCATTTTAATACATACACTATAGACAACATAGAATAGTATTTTAAATATTACTAAAACTTCCAAAATAAATGAACCATCTGTTGCTCTTCTTGTAGGCAAATATAGGTCTATGACACTGTAGGTTTAGGATATTACAATCAGATGGTTATGAGTCACTGAATGTCTGGAAAAAGATCACACACGGTGCTCCTTTCCCAGGCCTGAGGCCTCAAAAGTAGTATACATGGCAGTATGGGCGGAGATTGTAACAGCAGTTACAAGTGGAAAGTTAAATGAGAATTGCTGCAAAGATTCAGGAATGACTGCAACAATAAATGTGTTATCAAAGAGAGTCACATGCACTTAGAAAAGCACCAATTAGCCAATGGTATTGTTTCTGTTCTTTACAACTATGCAGCTGGAATGTGGACACTGCTGTTCCATGTATCAAGTACATTTCAAGCAACACTTCTTTTTATTTGCTTTTGATTTACTTGGGATGATTCTAGAGTCCGAAAGTGGATCAAGACCCACAAGTTGAGCAACTTAAAAGATAAACTTTAGATAAACATGTTAATTTGGGAACTGAAAGTACACTGACACTGAAAGAAGCAAATGTTAAACCGCAGGGTTTCATAAAAACAAACATAAGATCCTATTACTAAAATTAAGCAACATTGCACGACACCAAGACTTAACTCCAAAGTCATGCATTTTGGAATCAACTTGACAGAAAGGCAGACATGAAAGGTCAGAGGTCAAATGTGACCTGATAATTGGATGGAAACTATAACATGTATTTAGACAATACCTAAATGTTGCAAATACAAACTAAGGCAACAGATTTTTAAGCATAGTTTTAGAGATAAAAGACATTTTATGAAAGTTTGGTCTTATTTGACCTTGAAGTAATTATTATGATGGCTAATATGTTAGGATGAGTGACAAGCCCTGATCAGAAGACCTGTGAGTCCTGCTGGTGACATATGGATACAAACGTTTGCTAATATAGGTGGGCGATTCACCATGCACAGGCCTAAAGGTGAACAACAGAACCTGAATGTTGCATTTTCAGTCAGTCATCCAGGTGATTTCTTCAGTGTCAGTTGACTGCAGGTTTCCCCAACCTTATAAAAAGTACATTATAGGCCGTGAGTTCAGTTTTATGATCATTAATATGCAAATCATCATGACCTTTGATGAATGGCTATGAGTACCATTCACAGAGAGCTGGTTAAATGCTGCAGTTGTAAGATGTTTCAAAATGCACCATTAGGCCCCCTCCTTGTTTCTACCAATAAAAACACAATGTCCAGATGAACAGAATCAGGTTTCTGGGATTTTGAAGATGGATCAAGACAACAAATTAACTTTTCAATGTAATGCTACTAAAGAAAAATGAGTGGGTGTAAATTCTGATTTGCTCGTGACTGAAGGTTCGGGTTTCTTTTGAGAAATTTGGCAGGCTAGTGTCTCTCAAACTGAGATTGACTTACTGACTATGGTTACACTGTTTGAGTAAAACCAACAGCACATACTGCTGCATTTTTGATCATGCACTCAGTTCAGTTTGCTTGCTGTGCAACGCAAAGTTGCTTCACATTTTGACTCCCCACTGGATCCATGAAATTACAGTTGGACTTCGATGAGGAAAGTTGTGACATGGCACAAAAACACTTGAACTGTGTTTGCATGTGTGTAGCTTAATGATAGACCAGCAGAGACATTTTTGTGGTTCAATGGTTGGACTGGTTTACGGGCTGATCGTGGGTCAGAACAGACTTGGCATGTCCGGTAATCAAAGAACCAACAGATAAAACAACAGAGTGATGACACATCTGGATCGCTCTGGCTGAGTTGGCTGACTGACTTATCATATTAAACACACATGTTCTTGCAAATCCCTCTCCAACTCCATCTCTTGCATTGGGAAATCCCACTGATTCCCACTTTTTAATCCCACTGATTCTCTCACAACACTTCCCCCTCTTTCTCTTACCTTCATTGTATATATATATGTACTAGTATGTGCACGCACAGATAAAGCCACACAGATGCACAAACACTGACACTCAAAGTCTTCACTGTTGGCCTTCCTCACTGCCTGCAGTAACAGTAACTCAAACAAGCTGTCATGGATTTGACTGTGTAATCAGGTGTAGTCAGCACAGGATCCACAGTGTTTATAGCAGGGCAGATTAAGGAGTCAAACTGGACCACTTCCAAGTTTTATTTAATCTGCTTCTTTTTAATTTAAAGTGGGCCTGAGGTTAGTAGGACATGTTTTGTTGGTCCTTTTTCCCCACTTTCTGCTTGATGTGTGTCTGTAGCTGTGTAACCGAGCCCACGTTTACTGGTGTTAATTTGTGGTTATTGAAGTAACCACGTTTTTGGTTTTTTAAAGAAAATACACAATGTAGGAACAATTTGCTCGGAAATATTTGTGATATTGAAAGTGGGTTGTGACAAAGAGCTTTAAGATCAGGTAAGCTTTAAGGTTTCTCACATTTATTTTACTATTGCCCTGTAATTGATAAGTATTAGTAGAAGCTATTGCAACAAGACAACCTAGGACTTTTTGGACCACTGAAAATCTGGGACACCAAAGTAACTGCCTGCTTATTTGGCAATGCAGTCTAGAGCCTGGTGAATTATACTGTGGCAAGCATTGTTTTTCTCTCTCTAAATGGGCCACTTTATAGTGTAATTATCTTTGAGTTTAGTTTAGACCACGTCTGAGTATCCTACAGCCCATTTCAAATCAAGTTACCCATTCTCTTAAAACTCATTGCACGAATATCAGGTTCAGGTTAGATGCAGTCCAGAATTGGATGTATGGGCAACCTGCCTTTGGTTCAAACTCTGAACCCCAGGAAGACTCTTAGTAACCTCTAGTAACACAGTACCATGTAAGTCAGAGGTAACAGACAGGTAGCAGTCTGTTTATGTAGACTCCAAGTTAAAATGTCAAACTTTACTGCAGAAACAAACATGTTTAGAGGAAGATACAGAAAAAATACTAGCAGCCACCAGCGCTGGTCCTCAGTAGATGCGTTCTAGAGTTATCGTGTTCATGAAGTTGGGTGTTCATGCTACCCACCCATCCAGCTGGCATGCTGACAACAATACCCCTCGGTCTCTTTGATGTTTGTGATGTTGGTGCTTTTATTAAATATTTGCAACTGTATTAAAAGTAATATTATTTGCCCAGTTACCGAACAGAATATCCAAGAAGTCTGTGATGGTCACATCATGGATTCCTGACTATCTATCAGAGAGGCCTCTATGTGGCAGAAGACAGGAGACTTTTCTATACAGTTTATAGCTGGATATATTATTGTGACGTGCTTTTTAACAAACTGCAAACTTCCCTCGTTTGGCCTTTGAGCTTTGGCTTGTTGACTGATTCATTTATTGTAAGAAAATGTCATTCCACCTTAATGAAATCCTTGCATACATTCATATTTTGATGCTGATATACATTTCCTACCACAGATACTGTGAAAAGCCACCATTGTCACTAGTATTTGGCTGCCTGCTGCTTTACAAAATGTTAAAAAGCGGCTGATTTTTGAAGTGGTTCCAGATTCCTTCTGTTGCGCGAGTATCTAATTTCCCTTTCACTGACAAGCTCTCATTTTACTCTCAGTTCCACTTAGCCATCACTGCATGGCTACACTTAGTAGCTCTATTCCATTATTATAGATATGTGATTACTCTCCTGATTAAGGAGTACCTCTCTCTCTCTCTCTCTCTCTCTCTCTCTCTCACACACACACACACACACACCTGGAAAAGGAAAAGCACAGACTTTGTAAATGCAGCTTAAAATAGAGCCCTCGTAGTGCACACTTTGAAGAGTGAATAATTTTTTTTTAGGAAATTGACAAGCAACGATTCTCCAATCATGGCATCATTTGCATGATTGACCATCAAAGCGAAGCTGCAATTATCAACTGAACGCAGTCTGTAATCAGCAGTGTTTCAGAGCTTAACAGATGCTTTTCAAATCCCTGGTACCTTTGAGGATGGTCATGTTAATGACAGTTCGGACTTCAGGCATTTGATACTGAGCTGTGGCTGCGGGAGAGTCTTGCTGGTCGCAGCATCGTCTGCAGAGTCTGGAAGGAGACCTGGAGGGGGAGGGGACACAGCAAACCAAGGGAAGGAGCAACAGCAGCCCAAAACACCCCGACAACATGGCTGTCTCAACCTGAGGATGGAAGGAAAGAAACGAAATAAGCAATCAAAATAATGGTAATTCTCCAGGACAATGTTAAACTGTATGTCCATATGAGGCCATAGTGATGGCAGATGTTTACAGATGCATACAACTTTATGGCTCATATAATAATAATGGTGTTTTTACTCTCTGATCAAGAGGAATTTGAAAGTGAAAAAAGATCAGCCCCCAAACCAACATTTTTTGGTTATTTTTGTTGTTTGTTGGTGTGCTGTATTTTTCACATTCCTGTGGAAATCTGGTCTAGAAATCTGGACTATAACTGCATCTTCTTAGGAGACAATGATGTTGACAGTGTTTCTCAGGTTTCTCTTGCAGCCCTTATTAGCCATTGTGTCCCTACATTTAGTGATCTATACAAGATATAATATACTACAATGCAATTTTACCGTGACATTGTGGTTTTAGAGTTTCAGCAAGAAGTATTCAAAAACAAAGGCTTGATAAAACTGTACTACTTCTTAAAAGTATGTTTGGCATTTTGAAATTTCAGAACTTAAGGTCAACTTGACAGACCAGATTATGTTATTTTAGGATTATCGTATAGTATCCAGAGGATCAAGAAGTGAAATATAAGCATTTCTATAGACTAAAAACAAGAGTGAGAAAGTTTTCTGAGGCTGGAAATTTGATCACAATATAAAACAAAATTAATATTTTGGTTGAGAATCTTTTCAAAGCTGTTTATTACAAATGAAACATGAGTACATAATTGAAGGTTATGAAGAAAAAGACCCAAATGTGTCCATCATTATGTGCCTGTGCAAAAGTAACCATAGCACAGACAATATGACACTTGATTGATGCTTTACCCAGAGTGCTTTATGGTAAAGCGAGTACATATGTTTCCAAGATGCATAACCCAGAGTCAGCCAGACCCTCCCACCCCGAAACTGTAACCACTGAGAAACACAAGACCATAAAATCCATCTGGTTAACAGGGGAATGCTACAATCTTTTCCTTTGAGCTTCCTTACACAACTAGAGACACAAACTCTGATGTTATACTAAATAAAAATCTCAAGATTAATCTACATTGGGTTCTACAGTGAGCCCTAAGGAGCAGGGGATGTAACACTGACCAACTGACTGGTGGACAGTGAGCACCCCTCATGATGGATCTCAGCACATTTTGTTTTCTGCTGCCCCAACCGGTCATGGCAGATTGTGCCCCTCCCTCAGCCTGGTTCTGCTCAAGGTTTCTTCCTGTTAAAAGGGAGATTTTCCTTCCCACCATCACCAAGTGCTAGCTCATAGGGGGTCATCTGGCTTTTGTCTTTATTATTGTATTATCTTTGCTTTGCTCGAGCCGGCTGTTGTTGTGATTTGGCACTATAAAAAAATTAAATTGAACTGGCAACAATTGCCCAGTTTGTTGTTAACTACATATTGGTGCCTGTGGCTCAGGAATTAGAGCAGGCCATCTACATACTTAAAGGCTGGTTGATTGACCCCTGGCTGTTCCAGTCTGCATGCCTATCCTTGATACTGAACCCTGATTTGCTTCTGAATGACACATGTTGTATAAAGTGCTTTGAGCGCTCGTTTTCCCTAACATGACCAGCAACAGAAAATAGTCCATCAACAATTAATCAATAAAAATCTGAATATTGATCTAATATTTTTCCATTTACATGTGTTGTCATTTTCTGTTTTCTCAGAGAAGCATCTAAGTCTCTGAAAACAGTCTTAATAAAAACGTTTATTTGATAGAATTAGAGGCCTGCTGCTGCAGGAAATGAAGCCCATGAGAGTGGTATTCTTAGGCCATAAAAACAAAACTGCATGTGCTTGTCTGGTCTGCATTTTTCACCTTTTCCTCTCATTCGCTCGTATCTATTTCATTTTCATCCTCAAACGCAACACCTCTGAAAAGGAAAAGCACAACAGAACGAGAGGAAATGTTTGTGTGAGAAAGGAGAAAACTGAGGAAATGAAATAAACAGGGACGAGACAGATGAGAGATTCCCTGAGGTTTTTACAGTGATGGATGAATGTTAAAAGGATTTGAGATGACAGATGGCGCATGACTGTAGGAAAAATGAAATAACTGGAGCGCTGCCCCAACGTTTTTATCTGACTACTGATAGTAAAATATAACAGTTATTATCTGCCTCGCTATTACAGCCTGTCAGATGTCACGCAACGCATCTCTGCTCTGTTCTCCAACATGTCGGAAAAATTAGGCTCAGATTTATCATATGAATTTGTATTTCTGTCATTTTGGCAATATTCTGCGGCAAATGCAACAAGAAATGGCCTTCGGTTCCCTTTAAAGACAATCCAGACTAAAGCTGTATTTCTGTCACAAAGCAGTAACCATAAGACGAGGATGAGTGGTGCAGCTTGAAAGTGCTTACGTTGGAACGTTGAGCTGGTGTGGAAAATCTAAGTGATTATTTGGATTTTTTTCTTGGAAAGCTGTCAACTGTGGATTCACTGCAGTTGACACACAAAAAAAAATATATTTTGCAGACTTCAAAGAATCCCACATGCTACTGTATATTTGCTCTCCAGTTACCAGAGTGTCCCCGAATGGGTGGCTTATTTTTACAGTGTCACAGGAACACAGTGCACAGGACAGGGAAGCGCTCAGCAGGCACTCTGCTTGACTGACTGGCAACCTGTCAGCTTATAAAAATCCAACCCTTAGTGACAGGAAGTAATATTTCTACAGTCCCAACATAGGAAACACTTGTTGAAATTATAGGTTTTGGTCAGTGGAGGCGGTGCCCAGCCGCTGTGCACCAAGATGAAGAAAAGATGCATCTTCTTGGGTTTTCTGAAGCAGTTTTCGCACCTCAACCTTAGATAATGAGAAGAATCGTGTCATTCTGATGTCCTTTCTCTCATGTGGCGTGCAGAAGGAAACATATGTGTTTCACTAATGTAGGATTAAACCCAGAGACAAGGACACTCACTCACACCTGTGGCTCATTCAGAAGCATGAGCTGATATCTCTGTGTTGGTGCTGCTCTTATATTATGACACTAGCACTGGTCAAGGATCAACTGGCAGCAGCCAAGAAGTTAGCTCACGTACTTAAAAACTATCGCTAGCAAACCTACATTTGGCCAACAACAAAGCAAACTAAATAAAATATTTGTTCGTTGTATAAATGAATAAAGAAAATGCTTAAAATGTTGACCATTTGTTCTTAAAGAGAGTTTTATATAAAACTCAAAGTTATGACATTACAAAAATTACAATTACAACGTTGATCCTGGACCAACATTATTATGATGGGAACAACACCAACACGGGGATATCAGATATATCCATTTAGAATGAGCGTTTCACCTATAACAAGCATGTGTTTGCACTGTGAGCGAAAACCAAAGTTACCAGAAAGGACCAACACAGGCAGGGGGAGAACGCGTGTACCTCTGTCTTAACAAGTCCTAAAACAGTTCAGGGCTCCAGCGTGTTCATGAAAACAGCCTGAACAGGTCAAAACTTCAGCAATATTTGTGCCACATAAAAATACTGTACAAATGCCTACATGCATATCAGTGAACCAACTAGAGGGACTATCATGGTGTCATGCGCGTGTCCTACGTAGAGCCTATGCATAGCTTTTCAGACCATGTCCACATATTGTAGCTATTAACTATCACCAGGGGGCAGTGTCTGTGGGGCTCACTATTAAACCAATCAGCTTTTGACCCATGTATGCCATCCTCACCTTCAGGCAAGCACTGTTGCTTTTTGTAGGACTGCATGCAACCACATACGTATAAATGCATATCTCACATCCTTCACCCTGATAGCTGAATATCAACACAAATGAACACCAACAAGGTTTTATCAATTCTGCTTCAGAGGATGGGTTGGAAACGTGATCATGTGGCTTCAGGCCAATCATTGTAAATGGCAAAGGTGAGGGTCGAGCAGAAAACATGGGTAGCAACATTATTTGATGCATGAGTGCATTTAAAGGTATTGTTTAGGATTTGCCCCTAAAAGTACCACTTGAGGTTCTCCACGTTGGTCTAACCTGGTATATCCCATCCACTTCTCACCAGATTGGCAAGAATATTTATTTATTTACCGATAATTAATAACATAGTCTCCAAAAAATGAAGTGACATTTCCTCCAGCACCATGTGTTATCCTTTTGTGGTTTTTGGTAACACGTCTTGGCATGACCGTAACATTTGTCACAGGATGCGTCCTATAAGCCCAGCCAGTTCTTACTAAATTGCTTCTTACAGTTTTAGAATCAAATCTCCACCTGTCTTTAATAAGTTCTACATTTACATGCTTAGGTTTTTGAAAACTAATGACCACATTAATGACCTGCCTTACTGAAGACTATGTGGTAACCTACCATTCAGTGTGTTTTCTGTATTTTGGCAAAATTTGAAAATACTGCAGAAATGTTAAACAGAAACATCAGTTACACTTGAAGATTTCGGGCAAGCACACAGCAGGCTGACACACCCTTGGCCTTATTTTATTATGCAACATGCTGTCAAATTGATTAGGCCCCACGTTCAGCTTCCTTTAAGGCAGGAAAAGAAAGTGTGCAACAGACGTTTTAAAGTTACTGAAAGCTGTGCAACTACAAAGGCAATAACAATTAGTCAGATTTTATAGCTGGTTTAATATCATCAAACAGGAAGAAAAATTAATCTCTTACATCATACTCTACCAACAAACATCACCCCAATGCGTGCCTGCGTGTGTGTGCGCGCGTGTGTGTCTGTGAATCATAACAAGTAACAACCACTAATCAGCTGATCAACACACACTGCACTCATGCAGCTGTTATAATGAATTGCTTTAAGAAGCCACGTCTACAACGCCAGAGCATCAACTTGGCATGCATCTGCACTCCGGATAAAGCACATACGCGCGCGCGCGCACGCACGCAATGTCGGGCAGTAGGCCGGCGCGTGAGAGCGTGCGCGGTGATATAGCTGCTGGGGTAAGTTTGCAAAAGAAAAAAAAAGCTACTGCTGAGTTGGCGACTTGTGAATAACTTCTTCAGCCTCTGCACGTCTCTGCAAGCGCACCGCCGGCTGCTTTTTTCTTTATCTTCATTCACCGTTTCTTTTCCTTTTTTTTGTACAGCATTACGATGCAGAGTCGGTCGATTGTCATAAAGTCGCTGTCACATCTTGTCAGAGTGTCTGGTCGCTTTTCTTACCTGCAGGAGTCTCAGACGAGGAGGAAAAGCAGACTGCTGGTGTCAGAGTGAGAGGAGGAACAACTGAGAAGAAACCTCTCTCTCTCTCTCTCTCTCTCTCTCTCTCTCTCTCCTATACACACACATTCCTCCCTCCCACTCCTGTATATAACCTACCCTCACACACAGCACAACAAATCCTCCTCTTTCATCAAATAACATAAAGTCAGTGTTACTCCCTTCTCCCTGGTGTGTTCATTTCCTGCAGCCCCTCCTCCACACAATCTCTCTCTCTCTTTCTCTCTCTCTCTCCTTAAACTCCAGATCCATCACTCTTACTTAACAGAGAGTCAAGATAGCTGCGCTTCCATCCAGGAGTTTTATAACAGGGAGCTAAAAGTGGCACGAGGAGCTGTCACCACCCAAACTCTAATATAGGTCATTGCTCTCCTCTGTCCAGGCAGCGCAGATGCCCATGACTCAGATTCTGGACTGCAGCGACATACTTTCATTTAATTTGTTCCATTTCAATACTATCACCGTCATAAAGTCCTGCTGTAGCTGCTGTTAAGACTGTGAAAATGCATAACCAGCATTTTCTTTTCTAAAACATGCTGCAGAATATCAGAATGAATTCAGCAGGCATGGGAGTATCTATCATCTGGGTGTCCTGGTGGTCCAGGCACATGAAATAAGCGCATCCAAAATAAACAATTTAGCCAATTTAGATTCTGTTTATTTTGTTTTATTGGTATATCAAATTGTTCTAGTTCTTAACAAAGAGGTTATTGACATTTTCTTGGTGTCTTTAAAAAAAAACATTACTAAAAGTGGTGCAGGCAGCCATGAAAATCATAGGTCAGACAGCTCGTTAAAGCCCTCAGTCCCTTTATGGACAGTGTGTGTTACAATAAGCCTGGGGAATTTCGTGTGACCCAACTCACATCCTGTTCTCACAATATGAACTTTGTACTTTCTGGCAGAAGATACAAAGTTCCACACTGTAAGTTTGAAAGACTGAAAGTCATCAGTTGCTTGTTCAATTGATGCTCTGAACAGCACCGTGTAGTGTGGAGGTCATTGGGTGAGTGCAACCTAACAGTTACACGTACAGTTATTGTTCATGTTGATTAGTGTTATTAAAATGTGATTTGTTGTGCTTTGTATTCTTGGTAGTTTTAAAGGCTGTACTGTAAACTTGGATTTGAAGTCCAAAAGTCCAAAACTCCTCCTTAGGGATCATAAAGTAAACACATTCTGAAACACAAAATGGGTGGCTTCCATGCCCAGTGCGAAACCACTGTTCTCAGAGATTTCAGTCAGCTGATATTGCAGTGCAAAGACTGAAAAAGACCTGATGGCAGTGAACGTGAGCTCTTAACTAAACAGCAACCTGAATGGCAGAAAAATGAAGCCAGTGCAGACCTGGCAAAAACTATAGTTCCTCCAAAAGCCAGCTGAGGCTGGCTGCACACACAGGACTCATCTCACGTCTTTAGCTATGAAAATAACGTATTTACATACTGGTACAAAATGCTGGTCTCCGTAGTTCAAATCGCTATTGCTATCATTAGCTAATAATTTAGCTCTTCACCTGTACAAACAAGGTCATTCCTGTTTCTCAAAAGAACATTTTGCTAATGCTGAGGCCATGGATGGTGTTGTGTAGATTTCTACAAACTGAGAGATAAGTTCATTGGATGCCAAACTATCTATCCATCTGTTTTGTTAAATGCTTGTCCAGATCAGGTTCACAGGGAGGCTGTGACCAGATGTCAGAAAGCGAGAGGAGGGTTACAGCATGGACAGGTTGCCAGTCTATCACAGGGGCCACAGTGGACATCCATATCCTCTGTGTCTTCCCTCACTTTAACTGTTAATAATGTTCACCTTCCAGATATGATCCTTGTGTGTGCTTTATCAGTTACTGCCATGACAGTGGTCTCAGATGAGCTTTCTTCTCTTGAGATAGGTGTAAACTGGTGTTTCAAATCATTCAGGGGTGAAGCACAGTGACTCAGGTAAAGGGAAGATAGATACCCTGCAGATTTTTTGTCCAAGGCCTCAAATTACTTTTCTCCTGGAGGAAAGGGTGACAGAGTTTGGTTAAATGGTGATTCTAAATTAGCCATAAGATTGAATGTGAGTGTTAAGGGTTGGCTGTCTCCTTGTCTTAGCCCTATGACAGACTGGCAACCTGTTCAGGGTGTAACTCTTGCCCCATACAACCCAGAACTGGCTAAGTGGAAGAAAATGGATGGAAGGATGGATGAGTATTAAGAAGTGCACTAGTTTCAGTGGCTAACCCTCCAGTGCACTAGGAACCATGACGCAATGCCAAAAAACTTGATTCTGTTCATCTGAATGCAGAAGTCACTCATCCAAGTGACTCCTTCAAACTTCTTAAGCCTCTGGAGACTGGAGAAGTCACTTGGATGAGTGACAAAACGTTTCTTTCACTGAAAACGCTGCATCCAGATCAACAGAATCAACTTTTTGGAATTTCCTCACCCGGATTATTGCGCATTGCATCAAGATGCAATACGTCCTCTCAGCTTAGAGCTTGCCAGCTACTTACAAATAAGTCCATTTGAATGAATCCACTGCCCCACCATTTAGGCCACCTGATTAGGCACCTTCCTTCAAGCCAAATACATGAAAGCATTATGGAGCTTTTATTTCCCCAGGTCTACTCTACAGTTTTCTGTTTGTCAGTTATCTTGCTTTCATTCTCAAGTGGTAACACCTTTACTTTGGAAGAAAGATCCTCTGCCTTTGCTAGTCTGGCTAGAATCATTAACAGACATGATTAGTTTGGGTGTTTTTGTTTTTTGGGTGAAATAAATTAGCCTAGTGCATCTGTACTCAGAGAAGCATTCATTTAGGATATCTCTGTAAGATCAAAAGAGGGGAAATTCCCTGCTATTAGCACTGATTAGAGTCAAAAGTGAAAGTAAGTAATAAAGTCACTTTTTAGTCGCCTCTACCTGAAGCCAGCTAGTACTTAGCACACTCTTTGGATAACACCCACACAAAAGGATAGCTGTGATGGTAAAAAACAGCTAATTATAAAGCAAGCGTACCCAGGTGCTGTTTTATAAAGATCCTTTGCCTTTGATCCTTTCTCTTTTACCAGGTCCCTGCTTCTCTGAACTCCTTCATGACGCTTCAGCAGCAAACGCGGTCAGAGGCTTTTAAAACCCTAAGTACACCCAGCTTACAGGCTTAGTGATGATCTCATGGGTTTTGGGGTTTAGACACTAATTTGGTCATTTTTTTTACTTTTCTAGTCTAGAAGCAAGACAGCAACAGGGTTTAGAAAAATCAAACTGTGTTTCGTTAGAGTTACCTCCCAAAACTTCCCATGATCTATCTTTGTCTAAACTCACAGCCCTGCTTCCTCCTCCTCCTTCTAGCATTCCATCACACGGGCTTTCGTCTATTCTCCGGGGTTTTTGATTGGGTCCTTTATGTTTTGCTTCCTGTCCAGGTCAGTGCTGAGCCCGCAGCCAACCAGACGCCACAGAAGTGAAAGTAGAAAACAAAGCAAAAACACAGAGAATACTCATGAAATCTGTGTCAAGAGCTTCAGACTGACCTTGAGCATGTAGGACCGTGCTGTATGCTGGGAGAAAGGAGTGGAAGTTGGGTTCCCTACCAATAAATTACTCTCTATCATATGTTTATTTTACAAGTGTTTATTTTAAAAATGTAACACAGCCATCAGCACTTCTGAGGGAAAAAACGTATTTCTGAAAAACGTCATTTAGACATGTTTGTTTTGGCAGCTCTGTTGAGCACACAAGTTCAGAAGTTCAAGACTGTAAATGTGAACGCATAAAGATACATAAAGATATAAAACCTCACACGCAGTCACATAAACAAGAGTCACAGTTTTACGTCTCAGTATTCATTTTGTTTTGGTTGCCTGGGTTACATTTTCTCAGTCACGTGCAATGTTCTCATTATAATATAAAATAATAAAAAATAATGTGAAACGTTTATGTGGCCACATTTATGTCACTTACTGATTTATGGAATTGACTGAAATAAAATCATCCATTTAGACCAAAACTAGTTTTATGCAGGTTGCAGAAATGCTTTTTATTGCAGTTATATTGGTCATTTGAACACGTATGGGCACCGACTTTGTTTTGAAGTCAGTCTCAAGTGACACCTCCAGGAAATGCACACTTTGGCTCTGTTGTGTTGGTGACAGCCCAACAGGCTACTGCTTGGTTGTTACAGTAAGAATGTGCAACAGGAGTGGGGAGTGGTCTTTGAGGAACCTGTTCTCTCTCAGAAGTGTTATAGAGTCAGCAGCAACATGTATATAAATCTCACCGTGCAAAGAAGATCTGGTTTTGCTCGGACCAGACTCAACATTTGAAAGCACAAATGAATTGTTCCCTTTGTGTGCTTTGGGAACGCAGGGCCAGGGTTAAATTGGCCCAATGAATCAGCGGCCTCTGGAGCAACACTCGGGTAATATAACAGTGCGTCCAATGTACCATCGCTTGTTTTGATCAAATGTTTTGCTTTGTTTTGTTGGGGATAAAAGCAGCTCATTTCTTTTCCACTCACCTCCATCCTCTCCACTCATAGCTTGTTTCTGAGAACGACGCCTGTGCTTTTCTGCCTCTTTACTCTTTGTGTGTGAATGAGTTGTCAAGTTGTTGTGGCTTGCCTTTTGTTTCTGCTTGTTATTGTTGAACTCCATTTTTGGTTGGCTCTTCTCAGCTCATTTGCCAACTTTGATCAACTTTTGACCTGTTTCAGTCCGTGCTTTTTGACTTTTCTGAACCACATCACATTTTCAGCAGTGGTTTCAGTTGCCTTAAACTGTGAAAGAAGTGGGCTCATGTTCTCCCAAGTCAGGGGTACTGTTTACTTATTGTCACGGTTCTGGGTCCGTTGGACCCAGTATTTTGAGTTTATTATATTTTGGTTTAATTTTCCATCATGGATTGTGTTCTTGTTCTCTTGTTGTGATTGTGATGATGATGATTATTATTAGAGTTTCATGTTTCTGTTATCCATGTTTTCGGAATTGTGGTTTCATGTATAGTTCAGTTCCATGTGTCATTTTCTGTCTCTCTGTGTTGAGTCAGTGTCTCTGAGTTGTGATTCATGTTTCCTGTGTTATTGTGAAAGTCTTTGTCTTATGTTAGTGTGTGCAGCTTTGTTCCCCCTGTCTCATTAGCCCTAATC